CATAGCAATGGCGAGGGTCATGACCCTTTTTGTTGCATTGGGGACACGGAGACTTGAACCAACAACTAGACACATCGTGCCTCGGCTTCTTGCAATGAGAACACGTCTGATCAAAGATGCCACGCCCACTAGGGGTGTCCATAATCGGATAAAAACCAAAATCCAATCCAATCCAAACCGAATTATCAATTCGGATCGGATCCGAACTTTAAATCGGATCGGATCGGATTGAGATTTTTTTGAAATTCGGATTTTCAGATTGGATCGGATTGACCCTAATTGGATCCAATCCAAACCAAAAACCGAATTGTAAAATTAAGCTTGTATATTATGTATATTTTGAAGTTTAGCTCAAATACATAATACTACATAAAATAAATTAGAGAGACTTTGTATTAATTAATTAATGACTTAACGTTGAACTGTGTATTTTAATCATGATTTTGGAGACTTTTATTTATAGTAAAGCTTTATTTTTATAATTGTATTAGGCGCTAAAAAAATAATGTATTATAATTCGGATTTTCGGATCGGATCCAAATAACCGAATTTTGATTCGGATTGGAACAAGAGAGAAATTCGGATCGGATCGGATTGGAAAATTGAAAACCGAATTATATTTCGGATTGGATCGGATTTGGACTAAATCCAAACCGAAAACCGAACGGACACCCCTAACGCCCACTGCCTGGGCTAGTTTTGACAGCGAAACCAATAGCCTCTGTGGGTGCAGGCTCGGCTTCCTTTCGAGCGGAACGAACACGCTCGTCCTGCACCACAAGTTGATATGACCTATAAAGACTAGGCAAGGGATCCTGCGACAAAATGTTAGTTCGAAGAGATGAATAAATTAAAAATCATAGTACAATCCCATTAGAAAATCATGGAGACGCGATTGCTCTCTTCTTTGTTCATGGAGACGCCCTGATGTACAGGAAGAACAACACGCACAAGAAATTAAAGGCTCGTGGTGATCAAGTTCCTGCCGAATTGCGTGTAATTTGCCGTAGTAAACAGAGACCAGCATCGACTTGGTCTGCTCGCACTTAGCAAGAGATGAACGGAGCTGTTGGATACGAGGCCCATTGGTTTGAGCGTAGCGATTCTTTAGATGATCCCAAAAGGGTTAATTTCTCTGAATTTTGAAATAGAGGACTTAACCTCCGGATCGATGGTGTTAGACACCCAAGAAATTAGCATAGCATTGAGAGCAGTCCAATCGGACTTAGTACAGGGGGGCTGCGGTTCAGTGATCGTTCCATCAAGGAACTCAAATTTTCTCCTAGCTTCCAAGGCTTTCTGTATATCTGTCGCCCATTCGTCATAGTTATCTCCTTTAAGCCGAGTGGGGGTAATGTAATCGCTGGGACGAACTTGAGGACCAAGATAATATGGTGAATTTGGCTCGATTTTATTCGGTGGTGGCGGTGGTGGAACATCATCACCAACCATCATTGATTAAAATAAATGATTTTAAAGCAAACCCGCCCTTGATACCATGATAAATTGAAGAGAAATAGAAAATAATTAGAGTTACAAAGACCTAGTCCTCGTATCAAAAGATATCTGATGTGTCTATTTTATATATTATTTTACCCCCGTCCCTTGGTCATAATTAGTAGTGTTTTTGGCTCTTTAGAGCCACTTTTATTACTAATTGGTGTTTTCTAGTGTTTTCGTAGATTTGAATGGCTTTTGCAGGGATTTATGCTTTTGGAGTATTTTCCCGAGATATTTTGGAGCAATCACGAGCATTGGAGAAACACGACCAGATTTTATAGCCCAGGGCCGGTTAGAGCCATCGAACCGGTGATTAAGGGCTCGGTATAGGTGATACCGGGGCATTTGGACCGAGTATTTAAGACCCAAAGAGGAAACCCAGATTGGCCCGAAGAATTGGAGCCCAATCAAAGTCCAAATAGTGGCCCAAATAAGCCGCCCAGCTAAAGAGGCTGGCGCCCGGAGGCGCGCCCGGCCGGGCGGGAGAAGCTTAGGCTGGCGCCCGATGACGCGCCCGGGCGGGCGCGAGATTGCTATTAGAAAAAAAAAAGGCGCGCCCGATCGGGCGGTGCCTCGCCCGATCGGGCGCGTGTTTTATTAGTTGATGTTTAACGTAGTTTTAATTTGTTTTAGCTTAGGATTTTTGTACGGAGTATAAATACTCCTCCGTAATACGATTTTAGTATCACTTCTTCTTCTTCTCTTCCTCTCCTCTTTACTCTTTCTTTACTCTCTTAATTATTCTCTTAGAATTCTTTCTCTAAACTTTTGTCCTTAATTCTTCCATTAATTTCAGATTACTTTTTGGTAACATTTTCTTCCCCCTTAATTTCAGTTATTTTATTTACTCCCTTGATTATGCTTTTATTTATTTATTTGATTAGTTTAGTCATGATGATTTGTGAGTAGTTTAATTTCTAGGGTTTATGGGGATCTAATAAATAATATGAAGGGGTAAATTATTGTTGTTGATTATCAATGCTAGATTAATTTCTTATTGATTGATTTAATGCTCTGTGACTAGATTAGGCCTATCTTTTATGCATGAGTTTGACAATATTGATTCAAGAATCGAGAGATGAGAATTAATGTTTAGGTCTAGTTTCAATAGGCAAATTAATTTATAAATGGTTAAGTCAAGATTCGAGAGATGAGATTTAATACCGGTAAATTAATTGTGTGATTGTAATACGTAGCGAGAGCCCTTTACAATCTGGTTAATTGATGCATTGATGATTGACTATTATTGATTATTGGTATTACATGATAATTTCTTATTAGATTGTTTTAATGTTTTACAATTGCGGCTTGTAAAAGTATAGCAATATTAAATTGATGAATCGAGCAGATGTTAATTTGATATTAAAGGCTATTTTCAATAAGAACTTAGATCTAGTAAATTGCGAGAGCCTGTTAGATCTATGTTGATTAATAAATTGCGAGAGCCTGTTAATCATGTTATTTATGCAATGTCAATGATTGATTACTATGTTTTACCCTGGAGTATTATTTATTGGTGAACATATGCCCTAGATCCTTTTATATATTGTTTTCTCCCTATTCCTATTCTTTGTAGTTTAGTTTCATACTCAATTATAAATATTGGTTACTTAGATAATTTAGATTATAATAATTAATTAGGAGTAAAAAGACTTGTTTCCCTGTGGAGATCGACCCTACTTCCGTATCTACTTTAGTTAGAGGACTTAGGTATTTACTTTTGATTAGGGGATACGAATTTACCCTGTCAATATCGTAGGATCTTAAGAATTAACATAAATATAGGAGATAAATATATGGAAATATTTTATCAAATCTTCCTAATATACGATAATCTCAATAGTTTTTAAGTAAAGGGAGGGCTAATTGGGGGTTGTGGATGGAAGAGGGGCGGCGATAAGGGTAGCGTGAAAGGATTGTTATATACACACTTGGGTGCACCGTACACTCATGAGTATTTTGTTTTTATTTTGATGATTGTTTTTCATTTAATCATTAAATGAAGAGTAAAAACTAACTTTGAGTTAGTTGGATATACGGTACACCCAAGTGTATATAATAAATTCCAAAGGGTGGTGAGTATGTTGGTGTAGTGGTGGCTAAATAAGTAAAGGGGATGGAAAAGACCAGGGGTGGGGAATCAATATAGAATAATTTTGGGTGAACTCAAAAATGAAAATGGGTAAAGGGAGTGAAAAAATTGACAAATAAAACAAACAGCAACAAAGGGAATTAGGCATGTTCATTCCCTTTTCCTTTGATTATTAGCCCTAACCAAATGGTCCCTTAGTATCTTACAGGGTAACTAGACTAGTAATCTGTGTATTATGAATTTGTTCAGATTTTTAAAAATGTATTACAATAGACACATATAATATGCAATTCTCTAATGAGTAGAGAAGAGAATAGGCGTAATAACATGTAGGATAAGGAGAAACGATTATTGAATATTGGTGAGAAAGTGGAGCCAACATTAGATTTTAAGGGTATGTTCTCTTCGACTTAGTTTCAGTTAAATTCAACTCAGCTCAGCTCCAATCAGTTCAATTCATTTCATTTCCTAATTTCCCTATCTCATAAACAATTTAATTCAGCTCAGTTCAATTCAGCTCTAATCAATTCAGTTCAGTTTAGCTCCAATTAGTGTAGTTCAGTCCAACTCAATTTTTAGGCGCTAAATCTAGATATTAACAGAATTAAAGGTCTTACTTTAAAAAAATCATACAAAAATTTGTGCCAAGGATTTTTTATATTATGTTGTTTTTGATCAATTTTACATTTTATTAAGCCGTATTAACTTTATTTTCATGATAATCTACAAGATGTTAAAATTTTCTAACTTCACCGTTTATTAACATAATTTCTCATCTACCGTCAAGATCAACATCTACCATTGTCAATTTTATTAATATCAATCTATATACATACTAAAATAACAACCGCTGATGTCATAATTGCCTACGTGTTACGGAGTACTTTTTTATTTTTTATTTTTTTTCTCTAAAATTCAAGGATGATGTCATTTTTTTTCCCTTTTAAAGCTACCCTATTTAACATAGCTTTAAAAATATATTCCATTTAAATTTTGGGTTTTCTACACATATTATGCTAATTAGTTTTTTACGAGTTGTTAACAATAGTTAATAATATAATTTAATTAAAATTTCTTAATTAAATATACACTTTCGGGATTTGTATATTCAATTTAATTAGAAATTAGTTAGGAAAAATGAGAAAGTTATTTTCTTTCAGTACGTGTTAAAACAACTTTATCGCTCCGACCGAAGGTTCTGACAGCTTACTGGTCTATAATTCAATTATTATTTTAAAATCGTGTTAAGAGTAAAACATTTAATTAAATTTCGGCCTCTCATTTAATGTAAAGCTAGTAATTCATTTGAAAATGAAAATCTTTATTTTTATTTTAAATAAAAAAATAAAAAAAAAATCTAATTGAGTTAATAACTTACATTGAATCAATTGTTCATTAAACTAAAAAGCACTAATTCAATTGGTGATATTTACCTTTGACAAATTTGATGAAAAAAATATACATAAAATACGGGTATAAATATAAGTATATATATTGCTTTAAAAGGAGGTTCCCAAAATTAATACGGGTATAAATATATGTATTTTTTGAAAAAATAAAAATAAATAAAATAAATAAAAATAAAATAAAATAAAGATGGGGGGAGGAAGCAGGTAGTAGTACAATAATTAAGAAAAATTGAAGTGGTTTAGCAGTGTAATACGAGTAGAACACAAGGCAAACAGGAGAGGCATTTCGCATTTGCAATTTGTTCCGATTTCTGCATCTGAAAAGTGCCGTCATCCCCAAATCGAAATACGAATATTTAGAAGAAAAGATTTGTTTACCAGAAATCGAATTCAGGTAATTTAAAAGTTTGTTTGAAATTTGAGATTGATATTAATGAAATCAGATTTGGATAGGTAGTGAAATTGCATTTGAACAAATTCGCAGTTTGTTGATTACTGATGCCTATATTTTAATTTGATTGTAGCCCTAGCTGATTAATTGCAAGTTGGAATATTGAATTGTGGTGTTGCTTTTAGTTCCATAATACTGAATTCTGCAATCTCAGACTCTGAATCTTAGATCCTTGAATGTAGATCGTGTTTACAATTGTCCTGTTAAATGATAATATACAAATTCATAAACCTTTCTGTAATTAGTTTGTCTTGTTTTCCATGTACATGTACCAGCCATGATGATTTTGCTATGCTGAAATCGGATTGTGCCTTTTAAACCCCCATACAGTACAATACATACAGACATACATACAGATACGGCTTCAAGTCTCCATTACTAATCATGACTTGTCTGGAGCTGCAACCTGCTTCGTTGTCGTGTATGCTCAACACCGAAATTGGTGCTGTATTGGCTGTTATGAGAAGAAATGTCAGATGGGGTACTCGTTTTACTTCTGCTGATGATCAACAGGAGCACTCTCTCATTCACTCTCTTAAGCTACTCCGAAAGAAATTGTTCACGTGGCGTGATCACTGGCACAACATCGATCCTGTCATCTATCTCCGCCCTTTCCTGGATGTCATTCAGTCTGAAGAAACTGGCGCTCCTATTACTAGTGTTGCTTTGTCGTCTGTTTATAAAATCTTAACGCTCGATTTTTTTGATATGGATACCGTTAATGTCCAAGATACAATGCATTTCATTGTTGATGCAGTCACTAGCTGTCATTTTGAGGTTACCGATCCAGCGTCTGAAGAAGTTGTACTCATGAAGATTCTTCAGGTTCTTTTAGCTTGCACAAAATGTAAAGCTTCAGTTGCATTGAGTAATCACCATGTTTGCAACATAGTCGAAACCTGTTTTCGGGTTGTTCAGCAAACGGGCGCCAAGAGTGAGTTATTGCAGCGTATTGCTCGTCACTCAATGCATGAACTTGTCCGCTCAATTTTTGCACGCCTTCCAGAACTTGACAGCGTATGTCATGAGCTGGATAGTGAGGGAAGCTTGATTAATCATCAGGTATTGAACATTTCTAACTCCTTTCTTCCACTTAGATGTTCTTTTAAATCACTTCAAAAGGCCTACACATTTTATATTGAGAAACCTCACCTTATGTAAGTAATAAATGGCTGTAGTTACTTCATATCATTCTGTTTGGCAAAAGTGGAAGACTTCTAAAGGCTTGGACATAATTATTCCTCCAGAAATCTCTCCTTATGAAAGAAATTTTTGACCGTAGTTGCTTCATATCATTATGTTTAGCAATAGATATTATTTCTTTTACCATGTTGAAATTAGTGTAAGTGATAATTTTCCCCTCTTTACATTAACTACACCCCTTTTCTTCTGAATCTGTATTCACTTTGGCTGTGTACATTATTGTATATCCTTCACCGAAGACTATTTTAATTAGTATACAGTATAAGTTACTGGAGGGTTTAGAGTGCTTTAACAGAATAGTAATCCCAAAGTTTGAGTATTTTAGCTTGTTTTTGTTTCTGATCTTGAAAGTTAAAATAGAGCTTTTATACACTAAGATGATTGACTCATGGCTTATGCCCATATCAAGCTTCATGAGGTGTTAAGCCTTTCATAGCCATGTCATGTGGTGTTCTTTGGCTCTGCCAAAAATTTCTTGGAAATACTCCACTCTTGAGCAAACATCTAAGCATCTTCATTTGATTTAGATATGTGTACAAAATAATAAAATGCTTAATACTAGTTTACATGTATTTTAAGATCAATGGCGCTGATATAATTTGCTGGCCTTGTGCAATGTGCACTTGTTTTGCTCTAATGTCAACTGTGACTGTTAGCCTTGTGGAAATGTTATGTTGATATAGCTAGAGAGAGAGAGAGAGCATTTCAACTTCCTACGTTTAAACAAAAAGTATATGATATATTTTTTTTATTTTTTAACATTGTGCAGATCCAGCAGGTTAACCATGATCCAATTCTTGGTAGTCCACATCCTGATTCTAATGATAACTCTCCAAAATACAGTACACTGTCTGTGACATGTTCTATTTCCAATTCTTCTACTCCCTTGGTTGATGGTCTAACCAATGGAACCGCAACCATGGATGCAGTGCAATATGATTCACATCTCCAGAATCAGCAATTTGGAGTCCCATGTATGGTTGAGATACTTCAGTTTTTGTGCTCTTTGTTGAACATTATAGAGCATGCAGATATGAGTCGGAAATCCAACTCTTTGGCTTTTGATGAAGATGTACCCTTTTTTGCCTTGAGCTTGATTAATTCAGCCATCGAGCTGGGTGGAGCTTCATTCCAGAGGCACCCGAGTTTACTAAACTTAATTCAAGATAATCTATTCTGCCACCTGATGCAATTTGGCATGTCTATGAGTCCACTCATTCTTTCTATGGTTTGTAGCATTGTTCTTAATCTGTATCAGCACTTGCGCACTAAGTTGAAACTACAGTTGGAGGCTTTTTTTTCTTCTGTGATTTTGAGACTTGCACAGAGTAGATACGGAGCTTCATATCAGCAGCAGGAGGTTGCAATGGAGGCCCTTGTTGATTTTTGTAGGCAGAAAACATTTATTATGGAGATGTATGCTAACTTTGATTGTGATCTTTCCTCTAAAAATGTATTTGAAGAGTTGATTAATTTGCTGTCAAAAAGTGCATTTCCAGTGAATACTCCTCTCTCCACAATGCATATCCTTGCTTTGGAAGGCTTGATTGCAGTGATCCAGGGGATGGCTGAGAGGGCTGGTGTTGAACATGTTGGCCTGGGTAACACTGGCATCACAGTTGAGGAGTATAAACCATTTTGGTTGTTCAAGTGTGATGGTTATGACGAACCCTGTCACTGGGTGCCATTTCTTCGCCAAATGAAGTATATCAAGCGGCGGTTGATGGCTGGTGCTGATCATTTCAATCGTGACCCTAAGAAAGGGTTGGAGTTTCTTCAAAGTACGCATTTGCTACCTGGGAAACTTGATGCTCAAAGTGTTGCTTGTTTTCTAAGATATACTTCTGGGTTAGATAAGAATATTGTTGGAGATTTTCTGGGAAATCATGAGGAATTTTGTATCCAGGTCCTTAATGAGTTTGCTCAGACTTTTGATTTTAAGGGAATGAGTATGGATACTGCTTTGCGGATCTTTTTGGAAACATTCAGACTCCCTGGAGAGGCGCAAAAGATACAGAGAGTGCTGGAGGCGTTCTCAGCAAGATACTATGAGCAGTCACCACATATTTTAGCAAACAAGGATGCTGCACTTCTGCTTTCTTATTCAATTATATTGCTGAATACTGATCAGCACAATTCGCAGGTGAAAAAGAAGATGACAGAGGAGGATTTTATACGAAATAATAGGCATATTAATGGTGGTAATGATCTCCCTCGAGAACTACTGTCTGAGCTGTACAGATCAATCTGTAAGGATGAGATACGAATTACTCCAGAGCAAGGCTCTGGTTCTTGTGAAATGAGACAGTGCCATTGGATTGATCTGATGCAGAAGTCCCAAAATACATCCCCGTACATTGCAGCAGCTTATAAGCCGTATCTTGATGACGATATGTTTGCTATAGTAGCAGGCCCAACTGTTGCTGCTATCTCTGTCGTATTTGATCATGCAGAGGATGAGGATGTTTACCAACTTTGCACCGATGGCTTCTTAGCTGCTGCTAAGATTGCAGCATATCTACATCTTGATTCTGTGCTTGATGATATAGTCATCTCTCTTTGCAAGTTCACAACTCTCTTGAATCCGTCATATTTAGAGGAGTTTCTGTTGGCGTATAGTAATGACACAAGGGCTAGGATGTCAACAATTGCAGTATTTAATATTGCAAATAGTTATGGTGACTGTATTCGAACAGGCTGGCAAAACATACTGAACTGCATATTGCGATTTTATGAGTTTGGCTTTCTTTCTGCTTTTGCCGTCTGTGATGCTGCAGACGAACCTGTGTTCTCTGCTACCCCTGGACATGTAAAGTCTCTTGCAAATTCATCTTCTTCACCCCACATACAAACAAGTGTTGCTCCCAAGAAACCTTCTGGGCTGATGGGTCGCTTCAGTCAACTCCTATCTTTTGAGACTGAGGAGCCAATATCACAGCCCTCTGAAGAAGATCTTGCTGCTCAACAGTGCACCAAAGAGATAGTTCAGAAGTGTCAAATCAACAATATATTTACTGAGAGCAAATTTTTGCAAGCTGATTCCTTGATGCATCTGGTATGTGCAATTGTTGCAGCAGAGAAAATACAGACAGAAAGTGGCTATCCTGAAGATGAAGCGAATGCAACTTTTTGTCTCGATTTATTGATTGCTGTTACTCTGAACAACCGGGATAGGATCTCACTGCTATGGAAGTCTGTGTACGAGCACATTTCTAATATTGTTCAATCAACTATGGCTCCATGTGCTTTGGTGGAAAAGGCTGTTTTTGGGCTCCTGAGGATTTGTCAACGCTTACTCCCTTATAAAGAAGATCTAGTTGATGAACTGTTAAGGTCACTGCAGTTAGTTCTGAAGCTTGATGCTCGAGTTGCTGATGCTTACTGTGAACAAATTACACAGGAAGTTGGACAACTTGTGAAGACAAATGCCAATCGCATTAGATCACAAATGGGTTGGCGTATAATCCTATCTCTTCTTGCAATTACAGCACGGCACCCAGAGGCTTCTGAAGCTGGATTTGAAACACTGTCGTTCATAATGAGTGAGGGAGCCCACCTCTTGCCTTCAAACTTTGTTCTTTGCGTTGATGGAGCAAGGCAATTTGCAGAGTCTCGTGTGGGTGAAGTGGAGCGATCTGTTCATGCACTGGATCTGATGTCAGGATCATTGACTTGCCTGGTTAGGTGGGCACTTGAGAGCCAGGAAGTTACAAATGAGGATGATGCTGCTATGCTCTTTCAGGATATTGGTGAGATGTGGTTTAGACTTGTGCAAGGATTAAAAAAGCTTTGTTTGGATGACCGAGAAGCAGTTCGGAATCATGCCCTTTTATCTCTCCAAAAATGCTTGAGTGGAGCACAAGATATTCATCTTTCACACAATGTGTGGTTGCAGTGTTTTGAAGTAGTCATGTTTCCACTACTTACTGACGTTCTTGAAATTGCACTTGGGCAGTCTTCAAAAATGTACAGAAACATTGAAGCCATGCTAGTAGTTGCCATCAAGCTCCTATCTAAAGTGTTCTTACTATCATTTAATGAAGTTATGCAATTACCAACATTCTGCGATCTGTGGATTACTGTTTTAAGCCAGATGGAAACTTATATGATGGTCAAAATTAGAGGGAAGAAGAGTGAGAAACTTCAGGAACTAGTTCCCGAGCTTCTCAAAAACTCTCTGCTTATAATGAAGACACGGGGAGTGCTTATACCAGGGACTGGATCTGGTGGAGATAGCTTATGGGAAATAACATGGTCACATGTGAATAAAATTGCACCATCCTTGCAAGCTGAAGTGTTTTCAGATGCAGATTTGGATAGAGGGCAGCATAATCAGATTAAGAAAGAAGCAATCCAGGCTTCTGCTTGTGTAGTTTCTACCCCAAGCAATCCTGTGGCTTTAGAAGGTTGATACGAGGACATACTCTCACATGGCATGGCCTGACAATGAGTTTTTGGGGGCTACCAGTTCTTATTGATACTCAGTCGTAGAGAAGATACGGAAACATTGTTCAAGATGCTCTTTTGTGCTGAATTGTCGAACTGGTGAGCTCCATTAAATCACCTCAATTATGGTCAAAATACTAAAATTTGAAGTTGGTAGTACAGATACAAAGATGGATCTAAAGGTCCAGTCACTTCTATTTTTGGTAAATGTTAATCTTGTTAGTATTCATTTAATTGTTCATTTTCTCAATTATACTTACTGTGTATATATAGGAGTTATAGGCAGGCACTGCAATTTCCGTGCAGGCTTATCCTCCACAGATCACAGGCAATCAAGGATAGTAAACTACTTCCTTTATGTCAAATACTTGTCTCTTTGCAAGATCATAAAGTTGTATGGATGATTGTTTATGGGGTTAATATTGCACATAGTTCAGGTGATTTTTTCTTTCCATTCTATGAGCCTGAAATTTACAAAGTACTTTAACTACTTTATTTGTTTACTCGTTCATGTTGCACGTAGGTCAAAGTTCAATAGTGATTTTTTCTTAACATTCTATGAGCCTTGAAATTTTAGGAAGTACTCCAACTACTTTATTTGTTTTCAAAAGTTCGATTTACTTTTTGTTGAGGTGAGTTAGAAATTTTGACTACCTTTTACTCTATTTTATTTTTGATATATCTTTGTTTATTATTTTAAATTTTTAACTTTATACCCCGTGTTATTTACTAGTACATATTCCAGTCCTTTATGCAGGGGAAGTTTTGGGCATGTGTTGGGTGGTCAATCATAAAGGCTCCTAAGTTGAACTACTTATAAAAGGGGTCCAAATTTAATTTTTGAAATTTGGTTATGCAAAATGAGGAGAAAACTTGTTAATCAATTATCTAATCTTGAATTTTATCATAAAATTTATTATATAGTAAAATATTTTTGTTTATAAAAATTATACAGATTTTTTATATCCTTCAAAAAATGATTATAGGGCCCAATTTAACAAAATTGCACAAACAATTTTTTAGTGTTAGTATTTATAGCTCACCTTTGCTTTTATTGAAGGATTATTGTAATGGAAATTTTTTTGATCTTATTGCAACTAATACTTGATAGTTCCACCTATGATACCTCCTCACCATAGATAAGATCTAAAGATATTTGTAATGGAAAATATAGTGAAGGGCGTTGTAGCTATCTATGGTGAGGAGGTATTATATGCATAATTTTTAAATTTACGGTGTGTTTAATTTGATGTAAAATGTTTTTATGCAAAATGATTTTCTTAGGGTTTGTTTGGCATCAATTTCGGTTTTCAGTTTCCTTTTTTTTGAAAATTAAAAACCAAAAACGTAAAACAAAAAAGAGGTGTTTTCACTTTTTTGTTGTCAGTTTTCAAAATTATTATGATTTTTATAAGTTTTTTGTTGTCAGTATAGTTTTTCTTTTTTTTTTTTTTGACAAAGAGCTAAGAAAGAAAGCTAAAACTGAAAATATAACAATTGCCTACGACGAGCACACCCAGCTAAACAGTGAGCTGGTGAAACCCAACCCCGAGGAACTTTCCGAATCTGACATACCAAAAGGGAACGAACGACGTCTCGCAAGTTCGAATCCGTTTTTAAAAACGATGAGAGGAAAGACAGGACAGCAGCACAATCCGTATGAATCCAACCTTAGCAATAGTAGTTTGTAATTAGCAATAGTTAGAATAAATTGAAAATTTTAAGGTGCAGGCGGCTGTACCTTGCTTGGTACAGCCAAAAAATGCAAAAAGAACATGTAATTATTTTGTAAAGAGCATACAGTTATTTTGTAAAGAACATATAGTTGTTTTGTAACGAACATTCAATTTTATATATTTTTTTCATATCTAAAGAACATCTGCAATATTAATAAAGAACATGATAATATTATATAATAAACTTTATCTATATATAACCACCCTAATTTGAAGACAAAATTTAATAAACTTTTCACATTAAGCAATGATCTTTATGTTGCAAATAAAGTACATTACACTGACTAATCAATGAACATAAACCTATGTTCTTTTTATGTATTTTTTTTGGTGCAAATATGTTCTTTTCACTGGTATATGTTCATTACATTTTAATAGTATGTTATTTTTACTTTAGGTATATGTTCATTATATTTTAATAGTATGTTCTTTTCACTATAACTATATGTTTATTACTTTTATATATCATGTTCTTTCCTACAAAACGACTGTACGTTGCACCGTACAGGCGCCTGTAGGAACCAGCTATTGAGAATAATTAGTCATGTACTATTTATAAGGAAAAAAGAAAATTAAAAATCCAACCTTTGCATATTTTCCCTTAAAAATCCAACATTCTATTTGTTCCAGAAAAATCTAACGTTTACCTAAGCAACGGCAATTATTGTTGTTAATAATCCCTTAAATTTATAGCAACGACAACGATCCTTGTCATTGCCAAAAATACATAATCTATACTACAACTTTTGTCGTTGCTAATCATACGGGCAACATAAATTCTAGACCCTAGTTTTTCATTGAAAATTCAAGTTATCTCCTTACCCGTTTTTAAAATCGGATTTGATAATAACTGGACGGTGCTACCCAAAAAAAAAAAAAAAAAAAAACACGGTTTGAGTGGTGTATTTTAGGAAGGTGAAAAATGGGACATGTGGTGGTCGCAGAAAAGAGAGGCAGGTGTGTGAATCGATAAAAGCAAAGGAATCTTATCATACGAAACTATCCAGATTACAGATCGCATAGATCAGATCTGGCATCTGGGGTTCTATCTGGACACTTGACTTCTGCTGGAGAAAGAGATTGACATTCATTTTACATTTTTACATCCAATCCATACATACCCAGAGATGCAGTACAACAACCTCGGGCGGTCCGGTTTGAAGGTGAGCCAGCTGTCGTACGGCGCATGGGTTAGCTTCGGCAACCAACTGGATGTGAAGGAAGCCAAGTCACTCCTCCAGTGCTGCCGCGATCAGGGCGTAAACTTCTTCGACAACGCCGAGGTGTACGCCAATGGAAGAGCGGAGGAGATTATGGGTCAGGCAATCAGAGAGCTCGGTTGGAAAAGATCAGACCTTGTTATATCAACTAAGATATTCTGGGGAGGAGCTGGACCGAATGACAAGGGTCTTTCTCGGAAACATATTATTGAAGGTACTAAAGCATCTCTGAAGCGTCTTGATATGGATTATGTTGATTTGATATACTGTCACAGACCAGATTCATCAACACCCATTGAAGAGACTGTTAGGGCTATGAATTATGTTATTGATAAGGGTTATGCTTTTTACTGGGGTACCAGTGAGTGGTCTTCTCAACAGATCACCGAGGCTTGGTCTGTTGCTCATCGTCTTGATTTGATTGGCCCTGTTGTTGAGCAGCCTGAGTACAATCTTCTTTCCAGGCATAAGGTTGAGTCTGAGTATCTTCCTTTGTATTCCAACTATGGTATTGGTCTCACCACCTGGAGTCCCCTTGCTTCCGGTGTTCTCACTGGTAAATATAACAAGGGTACCATTCCTCCTGATAGTCGTTTCGCCCTCGATAATTACAAGGTATCCCCCAATTCAGCATTTTTATTTCATAATTTCAGTCATTGCGATTTTATTTATCTTATCATTCTACCATCTGTTTAAATGATATTTCTGAATAGCTTATTTATGCTTTCTTCCTTGTATTTATTTGATGGTAGAATCTAGCAAGCAGGTCCTTGGTTGACGATGTCCTCAAAAAAGTCAACGGACTAAAACCAATTGCAGATGAATTAGGTGTAACCTTACCTCAATTAGCCATTGCTTGGTGTGCTGCAAATCCTAATGTCTCGTCAGTTATTACTGGTGCAACCAAAGAATACCAGGTAAGCCTTCTTATTGTTTGTGGACATCTCTCTGTAGCCTCTACATTTGTTTACATCTTTTCCTTGCTCTCATTATCAATGGTGAACCAATTATATGATGGAATTTTTATACTGCTAGTTTTTAAAAACACACAGTAGATCAGAATTCAAAATTATTGTCTTCAATTCATCTAAAACATGCAAGGCATCATATTTTCAGGGTAGGCAAATGTTATGCGGTTTTTTCAATCTATGCTTTTATGCTATATAAAGATTGATTGATTGCTTTATGCTATACTAAAGGTGACAAAACACATTAGTAAATTAATTTTACCAGTAAGAGTATGTGCTAATGTGCGATGCTTTTAATGTGTAACTGTTAATTTCTTACACTAGTATGAAATTCCTTACTTTCTAAGCTTGCCACTCTACTCTAGCAATCAACATAAATTTTATTTTTAGTACTGTATATTGAATTTTGCCGTTGCAGGTTGAAGAAAATATGAAAGCTATCAGTGTAATTCCTATGCTTACAGCTCCAGTAATGGAGAAAATTGAGGCCATTGTTCAAAGCAAGCCTAAGCGTCCAGAAGCCTACAGATGAATGCGGATGCAAACTGTGCTTTTTATGGTTGAGCTTTTGGATGATCGCTCCATTACTTATTTCTTTCGTGATTCTATAGCATTTTTACCTAGAACTTCGATTGGTATCACTTAGTTTGTACCTATTTTTACATATCTGATTTGATACCTATTTTGCTTTGGTTTGCTATGAATTTCATTAAATGCTACGTTGGGATCAACTTGTTTGCCGTTGGTGCGTAGTAACTATAAAATGTTGAGGCTTGAGGCCAAAACATGCTCCTGAGTTGTGTATGTTAGTCTTGTTGTGATTCATTGTTGTGATACAACCTTGTTATTTGCTATCAAATTCATGCATTGATGAATCTCCATGGATATTTGAGTAATCATGGAAATCAGATAGAAAGCAATGTTTTAAGTCCAGATATTGCTCTATGTTTTTATTGATAGAGAATATTCATAGAATATTCTCATTATAAGTTTAGGATATATTTTGTATAAAATTATTTTTGATATATCTTATAGTTACCTGATTAGGTTTCTCATTGTAAGTCTATAAATATTGATCAATAGAAATCACTCTAATAAAGAGGAGTTTATATTTTAAAAAAAAAAGTGTTTTGTTTAATTGTTTGTGAATCCCGCCAGTGGGATTAAAACCTAATCATATTAGGTAACTATAAGGTATGTACATATATCAAAGATAATTTTATACAAAATATATACCTAGAATAAGAATATTATATGGATATTCTCTATTATTTATTTTAACAACTCTCAGTCACTCATACGTAGTTGCTACGTTCATATAAGTGTCAATTTTTTTAGCTTCAAGCAATTTCACAATAATTTTAGGTTTCTTAGAATAAGAGAGGGGTGAAACTTAAGGAAAGAAGGTTTATTATTTATTTATTTTGTAGGATTGTTCTCCTGTGCGCCAGAGTAGGAAGTGAAACTAATACAATGTTTCAAAAGGTTCAAACCCATATGACTAAAGAATGCCCATCAGAGGTTTAGACTTTATTCTTGATACTTGTTAGAAATAACGCAAATAGTGGTTTTGAGTATCACTTATTACTTTATTAGTATGAAAAAGGAGGAGAGGGATGGGGATTTTCTTTGACTTGTGTATATTAAACTCATAATGATGCCTTGCAATTAAAAAAAATCAAAAATCTATTTCTAAGAAATATGAAATAAAAGAGAGACGAATTATACATTCTGAAGGCCGTTAGCTAGCTAGGACAGCGCCTCGTGGTGCGACAGGGTCCAGGCACGACGGGGTTCTCACCCTCTTTGGCTGCCCCTTTCCAGAGGACTTGGGCCTGGTCCGCCGCAAAGGACGCTTCTTCAAACTACAATTCCGATGACGAAGCCCTCCGAATTTAAAGCTGGATTTTTCCCAGTTCGCTCGCCGTTACTAGGGGAATCCTTGTAAGTTTTTGTTCCTCCGCTTATTGATATGCTTAAACTCAGGGGGTAGCCCCGCCTGACCTGGGGTCGCAATGGTTTTGCCGCTCAAAAGGGCAAACAAACTTAGGGTCCTGTGAGTCCTTAAAAGCTACAAAGTGCCGACTAAGATGCATCCTAAGCTAGGCCTTGTATTCCACCCATGCCGCAGCACTTCGTAACCGGGGGCTCCGTATTTAGGCCATCCACACCGGTGAGGCATGGGAGGCCATCATCCTCCGCCCCTCCCACTCAAGATGGGTGGGTAGGGGGGAGACGCGATGCGTGACGCCCAGACAGGCTTACCCTCGACCTAAAGTCTTCGAGCGCAACATACGTTCAAAGACTCGATGGTTCACGAGATTCTGCAATTCACACTAAGTATAGCATTTCGCTACGTTCTTCATCGATGCGAGAGCCGAGATATCCGTTGCCAAGAGCCGAGATATCGCTACATTTAATGACTCGCGCTTACTAGGAAATCCTCGTTGAAGACCAACAATTGCAATGATCTATCACCATCACGATGAAATTTCAAAGATTACCCGGACTTGTCGGTTAAGGCTATAGACTCGTTGAATACATCAGTGTAGTGTGCGTGTGGCCCAGAACATCCAAGGGCATCACAGACCTGTTATTGCCTCAAACTTCTTTGGCCTAAAAGGTCATAGTCCCTCTAAGAAGTTAGCTGCGAAGGTATACCTCCGCATAGCTAGTTAGCAGGCTGAGGTCTCGTTCGTTAATAGAATTAACCAGACAAATCGCTCCACCAACTAAGAACGGCCATGCACCACCATCGATAGAATCAAGATAGAGCTCTCAGTCTGTCAATTCTTACTATGTTTGGACCTAGTAAGTTTCCCCGTGTTGAGTGAAATTAAGCCGCAGGCTCCACTCCTGGTGGTGCCCTTCTAACAATTCCTTTAAGTTTCAGCCTTGCGACCATACTCCCCTCGGATCCCAATAACTTTGATTTCTCATAAGGTGTTGGCGACGTGCTAAAAGTAACATCCGCCGATCCCTGGTCGACATCGTTTATAGTTGGGACTAGGACGGTATCTGATCGTCTTTGAGCCCCTAACTTTCGTTCTTGATTAATGAAAACATCCTTGGAAAACGCTTTTGCAGTTGTTCGTCTTTCATAAATCCAAGAATTTCACCTCTGACAATGAAATACGGATGCCCCCGACTGTCCCTGTTAATCATTACTCCAAACTCGAAGGCCAACACAATTGAATCGGAATCCTATAATGTTATCCCATGCTAATGTATACAGAGCGTAGGTGTAATCCCCCGTATTTTAATACATTTTATAAATGAAAATTTATTTTATTTATAATATTTATTTGTTATTTTTCATAATTTAATTTCAAAAGTTTCAAATTATTAATCTGGGTCTAAAATTATTTTATGCGCCTTTATTCTACAATTTATGTCCAATCACACAAGCCTAAACCATTTGTTTACTTAATCGACCCATTATTTTCATGAGGCCCAATCTTACTTTTTACCCTACAATAATTCTCTCCTATAAATACCCCATGAATCTCCAAAAATTTCCCACACAAAAAGGTTAGTCTTATTTTCATCCTCCTTTGTTTCATTATTTTGCTTAATGTTAATTTAATTGTTTTGGGTTTTGATTTTAGTATAAAGATTATATTTTTAGTATCAAATTATATTTTAATGGTATAAAGATTATAAATTTCAGATTATATTTATGTTTTAAATTTCATATTTTATGAATTATAAACCTAGGATTTCAATTTATTGAAAATCATGATTTCAGGGTTTTTATGAACAATTGATTTAGGGCTTTTATAGTAATGATGTTTTGGAATTTTGGTGATTATAACTACTGATTAGTTTAACTTAATTCCAGATTATTTTGAACACATAGATTCGTGTTTTAATTTTTAGATTTTCGTTCGTTAATATTAATCCTGTTTTAATCCCGATCAGATTCTGAACTCATCCGATTTTGATGAAAAATTAATGTTTTCCATGTGGAAACAACGTTTTAAGAAAAACTCACTACTTTTGGTAGTGAGCACTACCCTTTCGTGGCCAAATTCAGCCTCTAAATATGATTTTCAGGAAGTTTTTGATTTTAACAAAGTTTTTTTATACTTAAAATATTATCCTTGAGTTTGATTAATAAAATTAATTATGTTTAAAGTTAATTAAGAATAAATATATGTTTTTATTGAAGTTTTAATTGTTGGAAATAGTTTCTAAGTACTACTTTTGATGTTTTATAAAGAGGATTTAATCACCCATTAAAAAGGGAGATTTTTAGGGGTTTTTATATAATTTTCAGTTTTTTATTAGACTTTGAACTTGCTGTAATTTCATGTATAAGAGTGTATTTTAAGGTTTTTATGAAGAAAATTTAAAGAACTATATATAAGCCTTTAATTTTAACTAAAGAGAAGGTTTTAAAGTGTTGTTTGATTTGGATTTTGAAGGTTTTAAAGTAAGTTAGTATTGCTGTAAATTTGATTGATTGGGTGTTGATTGAGATGTTATTATTTGGCTTAAGAGAGGAGTTTATTGAAGGTGATTTCTAGTTAGTAAAGTGGCATACCAATTCGTTTGCTCAAGGTACGTACAAGTTACGAAACCTTTCTTTTAGGTGCATGTTTAAAGACGACGGATCGAGAACTTAGTATCATGTATAGGGATGACTGAGTTAAATTGTTTGGTTATACATTGCGAATTTCGTATGACGTGCACTATTTTATATTGCCCGTATTATTTGTGCTCTAATTATGCAAGGTGCGCTTAGAGGCAAAGGTATATGATTGGTGTAATGATTAATTTATTACTCATTCATGATTATGCAAGCAGGATGAGTAAAGGAAGAATTTAAGTCTTCTAAGACGAGGTTAAGGTTTTGGGGTGCCTTATGCACTCAAGGTGTTTATACACCGAGGTAGTAAAGGAATAAATAATAAATGTTGCTTGCCACTAATAAATCAAGAATTGAAATTGAAAAGTTGTTTTACTTGATTGAATTGATATTAGATTGATTGTATTGTTATGCATATGAGTCATCACCAAGTCTAAACCTGTAAATCACGTAAAGTGCAAAATGGATGAGCAATAAAACTCTGGATTGGTGCACTTCTGGAGTAATGACAATTAGGGGTTGGGATACATGGGGTATTAGCAGTGTACTTTTCTCGAGGCCGTCTGGTCTACAAGTCTCTTATTTCAAATATTTTTCAAAACTAGGAGTTAGGTGAGATCTCATACTAACTACGGTCACGGAGTCGCGCCCGTGGTCGTTGGATGTTTATTGATGTTTCCGAAAGGAGGCATGGGGTTTTTCTTTTATTGATGTTCCAAATGGAGCATGGGTTTGACAACCTTGCCTATTGCGTAATCCAATGAATAAAAATAATGATTTACCTATTATTAATTAATGGACGGAGTCTTAGTAATATAAATAGTTGAGTCGTGTGTTGAGTCTATAATTTAATGATGCATGATGATTGATTATTAGTAGCATGTTATGGATTTCTTAATTTATTTTGCAGCTTGTATGTACTCAGCTTTGCTGATTGCGTGCTTTGTGTGTCTTTCTTTGGTCATGGCCTTCGCCTTTCAATGACCCTGTGACGATCCAATTTTTACACTTGTAATATTGGGGAGCAGAATTACCACAGGTTCTTACACATGCAGCATTCATTAGGGTTGTGGGATATTGAGTAGAGAGTTGGTTGTTTGCATTTTATTTCTTTTGCAAGTTTGAATTTATTTTAATTCGATTTTATTCGACACTATTTCTTTTGGGTTTGAATTTATTTGAACACTGAATTTAATCACTTACTACTTTTATTGGGTTTTGAATAAGGGCCTTAATGGTTCCAAGTTGTATGACTTAATTTGGTTTCATTCGTTGGTTTTGAAACTTATTTATAACTGATTTAGTTTTTCCGCTGCTATTTTCTAATAAAGCCTTAACGTTTGAACACGTGGCGGTAGCACGCTAGTAATTCTCTTGAATATTGTTCAGGGTCCTCACAGGTTTAAAGAGAGAATTATTGGGGTGTTACAGTAGGCTTGCTTTGAGTACTGTAATTTCTTCAAAGTAATAGTGCCGGAGGCACGACCCGGCCAGTTAAGGCCAGGGGTGCATCCCCGGCAAAGAGGTTAGACGACCGGTGCACACCAAAATGCGGACCAGTCGTACCACCCCAAGGTCCAACTACAAGCTTTTTAACTGCAACAATTTAAATATACGCTATTGGAGCTAGAATTATCGCGGCTGCTGTAACACCCCCAAATTACTCTCTAATATTTACAATAATAGTCCAACTTTAGGGAGTAACATGGGAGTATTACCGCCACGTGATTACGTAAGGCTTAACAGAGTTTTGCAGCAGAAAATAGTATTTAACTTTCATTAATAATAATAGTAATGATAATAGTTTGATACACTTTCAAAATAGTTACACCACTAATACTATGTATACTAAATTAAACTAGGTGATCACCGCCCATAATTCCCAATGCAGCATATAGTTCACGTTGTCCGATCGCCATCACCTATCTACTTATCAAAATGATAAGTAGGGCCAAGCCAAAACAAAACAAATACGTATTAGCCAAAATGCTAAGTACATACAAATGCTAGACATGTAAAATCAATTTAATTAATTAAACATGCTTTCGAAGAGATTTAACTTATTTATCATAATTTATCCAAACCATTCCTGAATAGAAATTCATGTATAAAACTTGTCAGAAGAACCAATTTCCGAAATAACTAACTTTCCAAAGATAATTCCGAATAGGATGGATCAATCCTTATTCTCGTAAATCATTTTACCACCTAAGTGTGCACACCCCCCAAGCTAGTAACTCCTTTACATAGTGCTATCAAGGGTAAAGACTAGGTCATAAAAAGTCTATAGTCTTCAGCTTACTCCGCGTAGTGGGAGTTAAAAAAAATCCAAAGATCCAAGGAATAAATCCTGATAAATAACTTTCCAACATCCCATACTCGAGATAAATTAAAACAATAAAACTTCCTTCTTGAATATCAATACAAGTTTATAATCAACCATATAAAATATTTTAACATTTGAGATTAAACGATTAAAACATGCCTCACCGAAATATATTTCACATTTATTAAACATGGTTCGAAATCACTTAACATGTAAAACACATTGCATATTAAAGCCACTTTTAAAAGATCTAGCCACGTGTACGTACCTTGATCCTTGCACACAAGTACGGAACTCCTAATTTCGAACCCGAAATTCCTCCTATAACAAACCAATAATTCTAATCAAATACTTTTCAACCCATAGATATAAGGACTTAGACTATCGAATTTGACTAGTTGTGCATGAACAACTTATTATTATAACTCTTTTATAAAATTAACACTTGTATTTATAAAATAATCTTTAATATTTCTTCATCATAATAATAATAATAATAATAATAATAATAATAATAATAATAAGGTAGTAGTAATGCTACGTAAGTAGTAGTAGTAGTACATGTGAGTAGTAGTAGTCATATTAATAACAATGATAATGATAGTAATAATAATAATAATAATAATATAGGAAGTAGTAGTAATACGTAGATGTAGTTGTAGTAGTAGTACTACTAGTGCTTAGTAGTAGTAGTAGTAGTAGCAGTAGAAGTTGAGAGTAATAGTAGTAGTAGTATTACTAGTACGTACTTAGTAGTAGTACTAAAATGAGAAATATATGGCTTACTTACGGTGCAACGCAAGGAAGGAGGTGGCGGCAAGGTGGCGGCCAAATGGTGGTAATAGGGTGGCGGCGAGGAGGTGCTCGTGAGGAGCTCAAGACTACAAAATGAAAGCTTAAAAGGAGGTGAAAATGGAGGAGGAAGGAGAAAGGAGAAGGAAAGTAAGAAGAGAAGTAGGAGGTGTGATGGAATAGCTTATGTTTCATGGCTATATATAGCCCCAACTCAAGCACTATTCCAACTGATTTCATAAATGCTGCCAACCCAATTAATGCGGCCAACCTAATAAATGTTGCTGGCCTTATAAATGCAGCTGACCCAATAAATGTTGTTGACCCAATAAATGCAGCCGGCCTAATAAATGCTATTGATATGAGTAGTAAGGGTTGACCTTGATTACGGAAGGAGGAATAGTTTGGTACTAGGTAGTTTGACTCGGAAGTAAAATACTGAAGGCTGAAATTCCGACAACTTTGAGTTGACTCGCGTAGTAAAATTATATTTTTGTAAAATCATATATGGACTTAAATAAATATTTTTGTATAATAAAAATATTTCGGAAAAATCCAAAATTAATAATTAGTAAATGGCTTAAAAATACGGGGTATTACAGCTGCTGGCACCAGAGTTGCCCTCCAATGGATCCTCGTTAAGGGATTTAGATTATACTCATTCCAATTACCAGACTCAAAGAGCCCGGTATTGTTATTTATTGTCGCTACCTCCTCGTGTCAGGATTGGGTAATTTGCGCGCCTGCTGCCTTCCTTGGATGTGGTAGCCTTTTCTCAGGCTCCCTATCCGGAATCGAACCCTAATTCTCTGTCACCCGTCACCACCATGGTAGGTGTCACGGATAAATTTAAGGACTAACTTTTTTTTTCTAAGTTAGGGACCAAGGAGGTTCCCGTGATGGCGTCTAGACCAAGTCTAGACCAGACTATTACGATAACCAAAGCAAGACTAGCAAATAAAGGCAAACACAAAACTACTTACTATTCGCACATAATTAAATCTAAACTAAACAAAACAATTAAAGGAGACATGATCAAAGAAAGAGAATAAATTACTGAAATTAAATCAAGAATTGTAAAGAGAGAAAGTAAGACTAAGAATTTAATTAAAAGGAGATAGAGAGAGAAAAGTTAGAGAGAGAAAGAGAAAAGAAAACTAAACTAAAACTAATAACAAATTAATAAAACTAAACTAATACTAATGAAAAACAAAACAAATAAATCTAACTAAACTTGCCTAACTAACCTACGTAACTACTCCCTCCTTTTATAAGAAAGGAAAAAGGAGTTTGATTTCTAGTAAACTTCTAATCCCACTCAAAAGCTGCGTGAGAATATTGAGAATTAGGAGCCTACTAAATTCATAAACCCTCTTACAGAAAAGTTGGAGTAAAGCCCAAGTCAGCAACAATGGCACATAGCAGCAGCCTAATCAAACGCACTCCCGCTTTGGGACTGGGCCGCCGACAGCTTCACGCCCAACAACATCTCTTGTATGCTTAGGCTGTAATTATTTGGCCCAATCTCCTTCTTCTTGATATCCAATTATTAGACTTGTAACAAAATAATACCCCGATCAAATCGAGCCCTTAATCACCGAACCAAATACCTTTAACTCACATATTCTTAGGTGTAACCTCCTACACCTAGAGGTAGGTGCACTTGCTCAAAACGCAGTAGAATCAATGTGAAACGCAGCATCTATTTATTGTTCTCTAATGTCTTTCTTCCCGCTCACGTTTTTCAGTTTCCTTTTTAAAAAAAATTTGGTTTCTTCTTTTCCAATTCTCTCTCTTCTCCTATATTTCCTAATCCTCATCAAAGTTTTCCATAAAAAAATTTCATTACTATAGTTTTTTTCTCTGTTTTTTTCTGGAAAAATCATTTTATGTTTTATCTCCTTGTTTAATTGCTTTTTTCTCTGTTTTTTCTGGAAAAATTATCCTCTGTTTTGCGATTGCATCTGTTTCAATTGGATAAATATGGAATTGGTTGTTCTCGACGAAGACATCGTCAATGCAGGTTAGTTCTTGATTTTGCGATTTGTAATTAGGTTTTTTTTGTTAGTTTCAATTGTAATTGTGTTTTGTATGATTTTAGGTTAGCTGCGATTAGTTTCGATTGATTAGTTATTCAATTTCATCTGATTTTTGGTTATGTTCGATCAATTTGATGTATTATGTATAAATTTCGATTTCTTATGAGCTGATTAATCAATTTTGATTGATTAGGTTTTATACGGTTTTCTTAATTATTATGAATTGAATTTTATGTGATTTTCTGCATTTTTTCAATCAATTTTACGTATATATTTTTATGCTTTATATTAATTTTATAGATTATGTCTTGATTTGCTGAAATTGATCGTATAATTTTGATGAATATGATATTTTTGATGAATTAATAATAAAATCAATTGATTTTTGTTCGTATAATTATGTCTTGATTTTGCGCTAATCTTGATTTTTGTGTGATTACTGTGATTAATTGTTGCTTATTGTGTGCTGCAATTGTTTGTTGTTACGATTTTCGTAATTTATAATTTATTCTGAATATTGTCTCTTAACTAATGAACATTACATTTATAATTATGAACCTATGAACATTTTTTATTACACATTAACTTTTATTCTTAAATAATGAGCACTACATTTAAAAACTATGAACTTATAAACATTGTTTATTAAATAATGAACATTGTCTATTAAATGATGATAATTGAGTCTTAAATAATGAACATTACATTTGATATTGAATATTTTATTTGTATTCTTTTAGGTGTCTAATGAATATTCTTTACATTTTTATGAATTTACTTATATACATTATAAACATTCAGTGTTATTTATTTCAGATACTCCAGTTGAAACTATATACACAGAAGCTAAAGAATCTGAATTAATGAGGAAAACAGTAACTAGTGATGATGAAGCATATAATTTGTACAATGATTATGCTTTTAAGATTGGTTTTAGTATAAGGAAGGGAAATGTAAGAACAGTTGGTAAGACTTCTGTTTGGCGAAGTAGGAGGTATGTATGTTCATGTGCTGGTTTGAAGAATGACTCTAAGAGGCATGTAAGGAAGTTTGAGAAGTTAGATTTTTGTACAAATTGTGGCGCTTTTGTGGAGTTTATTACTGATCCAGGTGTATGGACTGTTGTGGATCATCAGATGGAACATAATCATCCTTTTATACCAATTGACAAAAGACATTTGTTAAGGTCTCAAAGAAATGTGAATAAAGAGCAATTGAAGGTCATAAGTGTAATGAAGGAAAGTGGTGTTAGGGTAACTGATTCACTACGTCTTTTGTCCAAAGAAGTTGGTGGTTCGCCGAATCTTGGGTGTACTCGAAAGGATATATACAATGCTTTGACTACTGAAAAGGCCAATAGACTTGATGGCTCGGATTGTAATCAATTGATCAAGTATTTTGCTCAAAGGCAAGCAAAGGAAGTTGATTTCTATTATGAGTTTGAGGTAGATGAAGGAAATTCCCTTACTTGTGTTTTTTGGAGAGATGGAAGAATGAAAAGGGATTATGAACACTTTGGTGATTTGATGGTTTTTGACACTACTTATAGAACAAACAAGTATGGCATGATATGTGCCCCTTTTGTTGGTATGAATCACCATTGTAACAATGTCATGTTTGGGATGAGATTTGTTCTAGTTGAGAAAACAAGCAGTTTCATATGGTTGTTTGAGTCTTTCATGAGATCAATGGGTGGTGGGCGTCATCCGATTACTATAATGACAGACCAAGCACCTTCTATTGCAGCTGGTATAAGAGAAGTTTTCCCAAATTCTAGACATCGTCTGTGTACATGGCATCTTACGGAGAACTCAAAAACAAATATCGGTAAATTCCGAGTTTTGAAGGGGTTCACTGATCTTTTTGATTATCTGCTCAAGTACTGTGTAACTACTGCTGAATTCGAACATTATTGGCCAAGGTATTTCATTATGAACTTTCTTTATGAAAGAATGAATTTATTACATTAAAACATGAACCTATGTTTTAATTTAATTATCTTTAATTTTGTTGTTGCTCATTGTTATTTATATGAACATGTTTATTATTATTTATGATCACATTTAGATATTTTATGCATTTATAAGTTTATTTTATGAATTTGTGTTTTTATGAATTTGTTGTTATAGTATGAACTTGTATACTGGTTATTTTGTGTGTTGTTATTCTGGTACATCATTATGAACTTTCTATATGAAACATTGAATTTATGATTTAAAATCATGAACATATGTTTTAATATAATTATCTTTAATTTTGTTATTGCTCATTGTTATTTATATGAACATGTTTATCATTGTATATGATCATAATTAGATATTTTATGAATTTATAGGTTTATTTTATGAATATGTGTTTTTATGAATTTGTTGGTTTAGTATGAACCTGTATACTGGTTGTTTTGTTTGTTGTTATTCTTATGAACGTCATAAACATTTTTATGAACATATATAAATATATTATGAACATAAATATGTAATATATGAATATAATGTTTATTAAAGTGAACTTTCTTATGCTAGGATGATGAACAAGTACAATTGTAATGATAATGATTGGTTAAATCATTTGTACTCGATCAAAGAAAGATGGTGTCTAGCCTATTCTAAAGAATATTTTTCCGGAGGAATTTTGAGTTCCCAAAGGAGTGAAACCACAAACCGTTCGGTTTCTCATAGATTGAGGAAGACGGATGGGTTGTGTGATTTTTACAAGACTTTTCTTGATGTTGTGGCTGAGTGGAGGAGTAAGGAAAGTAAGCAGGACTTTCGGTTTTTGAGAGGTAATCGTCATTTGGCGGTTGCTAATGTAAGTCTTCTTATTCATGCTAGAGAGGTTTATACAATTTCGGTTTATATTGTCTTTGAAGATCAATTTGCAAAAGCTATTTCTTGTTCTCAAGAGAGAAAGTATGAAAATGATGAGACAATTAGTTACTTGGTATGGAGGCCTAATAAGGATATTATTAGGCATGAGGTTGTTTTAAATAAATTCACTAGGGTAATCAATTGTACATGTAAGTATTGGAGTGAAATGGGTTTATTGTGTTCACATTCCCTTCGTATTTACAACATTCATTGTGTTCAAAAGATACCCGAAGAATACATAGTTAAGAGATGGACCAAAACCGCGATGTGTAGTCATGTGGTTGATGAAGATGTTGTTCAAGAGAATGTGATTTCTTCTTCTATTTGGAGAGATCATATGTTAAGAAAGTTTATTCAACTTGTTACATCTTGCCAAGATCACCTTGAAGCACGAGCTGAAATTGAATATACATTTGAAATGTTAAGGGAGAAGGTTGAGAGTGTTAGGGGGCTAATTGATTTTGATGAGGAAGAAGAGGTTCAAGAGGTTGAAAATGATGCACAACCTATTCAAAATCCGAAAGTAATTAGGAAAAAGGGTGAAAGGAATGATAGGCCAAAGAGCACTATTGAAAAAGCTTGTAATAAGGCCAAGGGGTGGAAGAAAAAAGTAGATAAATACAAGGATGAAGTTAAAGCTACTGCTCAAAAGGTTTTTCAGGTACTTTTATGAATTTTTTGTGTATATAAGTGAATATTTTTGTATGGCATATGAACATATCTATATTTGTGTTTTATATTGCAGGTTTTAGATGATGATGGTGATCCTTTGACTTATTCATACCCAACAACAAAAGATTCAAGTCTTAATGTCCTTCCAAAACAGATGAATGGGCAATCATCAATGGTAATTTTTAAAATACTTTCAATTATATTAGTATTCTATTATTTTTGTTTTTGAAAGAATAGTATTCTATTATTAATGTTTTATAATATTTTTAGGGTGTTCAAGGTGCCAGTAAAAAGAGAAAAGTACCAGCAAATGATGCTCAAACTTCATCAAGGGAAAATATTACAATTCACAGGTAATCATTTATTTGAATTTTATGCTTAATTATATGAATTTTATGCTACAGAACCTGATCATTTATTTTACAGCGTATTGGACAACAATCTTCAAAGAATAACACTAATACCTCAACTAATGCTTCTCAGACTTAATTCTCAAAATTAATTATTTATGTGAACTTAAAGTTTATTAATATGAATTTTATGCAATACCATTTGATCATTTTTTTTAATTTACAGGGTAATGGACGACAACCCTCAAAGAAAAACACTAATACGAGTAAACCTTCTTCATCAAGTCAATTTGGATATCAAGCTAAAAAAGGAAGTTTTCATTATGAGAACAACAAATGGTATCAGGTAAATCTGAACAACCTAGTTACGTTTATGAACATTTGCTTTTTATTTTTGAGCTTATGTGTTTTTGTAATTGTTTTTTATTTTATCTCTTTTTTTTAGTATTTTGATGTTGGGCGCAATGCTACAAATGAAGGGAGTGAAGTTGGTGGATCTTCAAATGTTTCACAATATAATGAAATGTTATTCATGTTTGATAAGACAATCAATGTTTAGATTTTTTAATAATTGACAATTTATTCAATTGCCTAAAAGTTGTAACAAAACAAATTATTACTTATTTTCATTTTATAAATGTTTTTGATTTCCAAGAATTAATTTACTGATTTTTTAATAGAAAGATGATCAATTAGCATTATATAAGTGATCTAACAATATATAATAATGAGAGAAATTTCAAATTTAAATGCAAAATATCATGCAAACTGATGTTTCAAGTCATAAAAGGAATCCACAACTTTTAAAGTAAGTTTTCTTTGCAAAGTTATTAACTATAAAAATTAATTTGATTCTTCCATCCTTCGTCTTGCAACCATCTTTATTCTGTATGCTTCTCTGTTGGTATTGCTTAATAATATCTCAGCACAATACTTCACTCTTAGCTTTCTGATTTGATCAATCTGGAAAAACGTATGAACATAAATATTTAAAATATGAACAAACACTCTATATAAATGAACATAAATTGAATTTTAAAGGAGTTGAAACCTTACATTATCAGCTTTCAGATCACAAACCCATTCTACTGAAGGTTCTGATGTGTATGTTTCCATATGCTTCAACAAATAAACACCACAATTCTTATGGTCCCAATTGCTCCTCCAATTCATTTTTATCAAGTTAGGCTTGAAAGCTTTTATTTCATCCAGTTGTTTTTCATTGTAATTTTCGCTTCTCAAAAACCCTATAAAAGCTTCAAGCTAATTTTGAAAATACACATTCAATAGTTAGTTATAAGGAATTGAACATTAGAAATAAATTAGTGAAATTCACAGAAAGTTCAAATGAAAAAAGATGAGTATTTAATATTTACCATTTTTATGGGAGAGATACCGTATTTGTCTTTTGATTTCATATTCATGGGAAGCTTTCTGTTATCAATCATATCAACAGTGGCATTATACATGTTGAAGCAAACCAAGTAGAAGTGGTTAAATGCTGACACTGGGAAAAAGAATTGTTTGACTTCTTTAATTTTTTTGATACCGCTGTTTTTCATTTCAATTTGAAGTCTGGAAATGAATTTTGAAATTCTTTTTTCATGTCACCCTCTTTCTTAACAATGTGGTCTGTGCACACTATCACCTGCATATAAATAAAAAAACATATATAAATAAGTACCTATATATGAACTTTTAATAAAATATTAATGAACTTCTAGTTCTAATATATAAACTTATAATTAAATATTAAAGAACATGAAATATATATGAACGCTTAATAAAATATTAATGAACTTCTAGTTCTAATATATGAACTTACATAAGGAATTGTGCTAAAGTAAATGCTGTTATTTCGACACTTGTAATTTAAAATTGTAGCCCAAGCATCAATAATGGAATTGTCAATTTCTTCATCTGTGCCTAGTGTCTTCATTTGAGATCTGTTAATACTAGTTTCTCCATCAAAGTACATCACCTCACTTCACACGCAATAAGCAAACAAAACAATCCATTTTTAAAAAATGAATAAAACATATTATTTTATGAACAAGTAAGATAATAATGAGCAACTTACTTGTTAGGACCATCATTGAATGCATAGTCAGAAATTGTTGCATTCATTGCATTCACATCCTTGAATAAATCTTTGTATTTTACCATGAATGGTGATTTGAGACAAGCAGGCAAATTGTGAACTTGTCTTATAGGTCGTTTGCCAATTTCAATTTCACTACATAAAATAACATTATTAGTTTATAAAAGGTCAAAATTATGTAAATGGTTTTTTTTTTTATTCACCTTGCCGTTTTTTCCTTTGACACATTTCTGCAAAACACAGATAATAAGTAAAAGTAATCAATATGTGAATATAAATGAACAATTGTTTAATATAAATGAACATAAGTTTTTTCCATTTTTTTACCCTGGATTTTTCGATTCTCCTTTAGATCTGTCACTAGATGAACATAATATTAAACAAAATGAATATCAAACAATAATAGATGAATATATATAGAAAAGCAATATTTTCATAATATAATTTATAAGTTTCATAGAATATATAATAATTTTCGATGTCCAAAAAATTTACATTACTTTTTCTAGTTTGTTCATCCAAAAAATTAACATTAGTTTTCTCTTTACGTTACATAGACTACCTTAGCTAGTTATTACAAAATATATATCATAGTTAGGAGTCACATTACCCTGCATATTGAAATTCTGGATTCAATGGGTTGTTCAAAATGTCTTCAAATGTAAGGTCTTGAGTTCTGAACATATGATCAAATTCCGATGCTTCAATCACCGGTTGCTCCTGCATCACACATGCACTACTTGACCCTCCCATACCTAGCCCGAGGTTCAAATCAATGTTTTGTCCAATTTGTGTCTCAGTTGGATGAACCATTGGACTAGGAGTTTGTTCTTTGTCGATCCCTAAATTCCAAGCATTTTGTGGATCGAATGACTCTCTTACTTTCTTCTTCCCCTTTGCCTCTTCTTTTTATCTTGCTTTCTTTTCAGCTTGTACTTTCTCCAAATACTCCTTTTCAACCTTATCTAAAGCATTCAAGAAAGAATCTGTTCCAAATAATTTCTTTTGCATATAATCTCCCACTATTTTGTAAAGAAGATTATTTGGGAAAAGCTGTCCAGCATGCTTTATCATTTCACACAATTTTTCACAATTCTCACCCATAGTTCTGACCACACTAATAAACTCTTCCATAAATTCCTCCTACAGAATGAACATACACAACAGACATTATGAATATAATGCCTTCAAATATGAAATCAAAATATAAATAAATAAAATATAATATCATTATGAAATATGGCTCGTGAAATGATCATACTGTCCAAAATTTTTAACTACTTTTTCATTAAAATCCACTTGATTGTTATAGTATAATTTTTACACTGACAGTTTATTTCCAAAAAGTTATGAGAAGACCGTCAGATTATATAAATTTCCATTAGTAGGAAAAAGGAAAATTTCTAGAATAGGAAATTCAATATATCTATCAAGGCCTCCAAACAGATCATGTTGCATTAACAATAAATATTTGTGAAGTATCACTATCACACAGCCTTCTCCCTCTCAAGGCCGGGATCATTAGTGTGATAACAAACTAGATTAAAAATAAGCATTCAAACTAGATTAAAAATAAACATTCAATAATATAGGTAAATTTTCTAATCAACCCTTGGCCATTGTATATTAGTACATTCTTCTTGTGTTGTTTTCCTTTTGATTTCAACTCTAGGCAAAATATTACCCAATCCAACTCCATGGCTCTTCAACTTCATCCTTTCGACCACCATATCCTTTGTCCATACAGATATGATAGGAGGAGTTCTTGGTGGCATGATGCTTTTCTTTTGAATGCGATCAAAGTAAAACAACTGAAAAAAAAATAATGAATATAATAAAAATATGAACATAGTATATATGGAAATGAAAATAATAGCATATACCAGAAGAAAAGGCAAAGGTCCTTTGTAAAACCCTTTCGGATTCAATTTCCAAGAACTGCTTGTATCCATTAAGCTATCAAGGACATACTTGCACCAATTGTATTCCTTGATTTAAAACACATTCTTAATTGAGAACAGAAACTTGTAGTGCAAGTGTATGCTTTGGCTGCTTTTCATGAAGCAATTTACAGCCAACACAATGAAATCGATAATGAAGATTTCATCAACTTCACCATTGTTCACTTTTGCAGGTTCTGTGTTCATTTCCAGTTTCCTTTTGTTCATCTTTGCTTTCATGATTTCCATCTTTTTCTCTTTTTCTTCCTCAGACTCATATTTCTTCAGAACATTGTGTGTTTTAGGGCTACCAGACACAACACCCCAATATTTCCTCCATCTAGTCAAAGGAGTCTCTTCTTGTTCCTCATCCTCTACCTCCTTCACTTCTTTCTCCCCTCTCGGGATTCCATACACAACTTCAACATCTTCTTCACAAACAACAATAGACTTGTTGTACGGAAGATAAAGTGTGCGGCTATTCTCTTCGAAACAATGCATAAGCCAAGCAGAAAATGATTGGTCATTTTGTGGAAGATTTACATCGAGTAAAGCTCCAAATCCCATGTCAATAATTGCTTGATTTTGAGAAGGGCTCAAATTTGATGCAAATGTCATGAATTTGAAATGCCCAACCCTCACTTGCAACTTACCATAATCATCCAAATCTTCAGCATCATCAAGATTTACCACCTCATGTACATCTTCATTTGCATCTCTCTTTCTTTTTTTATGTGCTTTCTCATTTTTTACACCATCAACTTTCTCACTTTGTTTCCCCTTCACCACCTTAACTTTTTCAGTTTTCAGAGTTTCCTTCTCTTTCACACCTCCATCTTTCTCATTGTTTTTTTGTGTCTTTGAGTTTTGCTTGTTCTGTTGATCTTTAGCTGTACTCTTGCTTGAGGAGGCTTCCGAACAGTTGTTTGATGATTTCTTTTTTGTTGCAATATGCTTCACCCTAATAGAATAAATGTAAAGTTTAAAAAATGAATATATAATTTACATAAAGTGAACATATGCATATAGAAAGTGAAAATAAGCTGTTTTGAAAGTTTAGGCTCATGTTTATATGCATTACTTGTAAGGTGAACATATGAACATATGCTATTTCAAATGTGAACATAAAAATTCAAAATATGAACATACCAATCAATGAACATGAACATAACCACTCAAAAAATGAATATAAGTATACAAATAATGAATATATGCATATAACTAATGAATATAAGCATTGCTTCCTTTGGATTATGCATTTTAAAATGTGAACATGCAACATGCTGTGAATATAGTGTTCTCAAACATGAACATGAAACATGATGTGAATAAGTTGCTACCCTTTTTCCCGCTCTTTTATCCTACACCCCACAACTCCTAATCCCACACCACTCCACTAACTAATGAATATACGCATAAAAATAAAGAATATCCCTTTAACATAGCTGAATATGAATATATATATATATTTACAATGTGAACATAAGCATTTCATACCTTTTTTTTTGGTAACTCTGTTGCTTTTGATTGAACCTTTTGTGCTTCTTTAGAAGGTTTTTCTGGTTGTTTTTCCCCTTCTTTTCTTGTATCTTTTGATCGTTCTTGTGGTTGTTTTTCTCTTTCTTTTGGTGGTTCGACTTCATCGTTAACTCTGAGAAAAAATTGTGTAAAACAGTGAGCTTTATGAGGTAACTTCATATCTTTAAATCTATCAAATTCATTTGATGAAGGGTCGACATGCATTTGAATCTTAACCTACCAGTCTTTGTGGAGAGGTTATATATAATTTCTAGTAAAAATATAAAACAAGGAGTGATCACATAACTACTAAAACATGCAACAACAAAGTGATATTGGACATTTGATTGGTGGAAACTGATGTTTTGGTAAGGATTTTGAAGAGTTTGTAGCCAATGAAAGACAAAGATCGAGAAGCACATTCATGGGCAGCTACTGTATCAGAGTTTTTGGTGATAAAAATAGGTTTGCAACCATTAAAATAAACTGATGGAATGCTACACATTAGTCAGCTTATTCATAGATTACCAGCTAAAATCATTAGTTAAGTGGTTCAAACCAATAAACAAATAAAATCACAAAGACTTAATTGCTTCAAATAAAGACTTGATTGCACATTATTGAGTAAAAAGTTGTGTAAATCAATAATAATAAGCAGATCTTTTATTATTATATGAGTAACTTGTTCTTAATCTTTCCGATTCTGACATGTACTATAATGTGCCTTTAGTTCATATATTATGAATGCATAATAAGAAGCCATTACATGGAGTTATAATTCAGTGCATATTTTGTGAATATAGTGTGCCTTTAGTTCATATATTATAAATGTTGTGAATATAGTGTTCTCAAACATGAACATCACTATTCCAAATATATTATTCATTGCATATTTTGCTACCCTTTTTCCCGCTCTTTTATCCTACACCCCACAACTCCCCTAGTCCCCTGTTCCATACTTCATCTCCCTCCTCAAGAAATCAACAAAAAATACCAACATAAATTCAAATTCACTAAAATATACAAACATTGTTTTGAATTTTAATTTTCGTACAAAACTTCAGACATAATTCACTAAAAAATTCACCAAAAAATGTAAACATTTGCACTTAATTTCGGACAAAATTCACTAAAAAATACAAATATTTGCACTGAATTTCGGACAAAATTCACCATAAAATCCACCAAACAACAACAAACATGAAAATTAGGATCAAAACATGAAAATTCACTAAAAAAAAAAAATCAATATACCTGTTGTTTTGATTTTCCTCTTCTTCAACAACTTGTTTCGAAATCTCATTGAGTAATTTCGGATCTATAGTAGGACTCTTTGCCACTTTCTTCTTTTTGGTGCCAAACATTTTATTTAGCGGCCTATTCAAGAAAATTAGGGTTTCTATCAACAATTTATATTAATAATTACAATTTAACACCACAATGAAATTTTAATTTATAGAAATAGCAATCAAAAAATAAATATCTAAACTTACATATCTTCTTGATTTCCAGTAGATTTTGAAGCATTTTTTGTTTTTCTACAAAAACAATTGAATTACATGCGTTAGTTTATGAATTCACCCACAAACAACAATTAATCTAAACAATTTTTTACAAAGAAAAGAGAAAAAAATGTAACAAACTAATCTAAACAATTTTTCATATAATCTAACACAAATTTCATAGTTTCGAAAAATTGAATTTCGAAAAACAGAGTTTCGAATGTTTCAGATGAAAATTCACTAAAAAAATGTAAATTTTGGGCAAAATTCAGTGCAAATATACCTCTTCTTTGGATGATCCTTCTGATTTGTCATTTCATCTCTTATGTCCATTGTGATTTTTCCAGATTTTTAGAGAGAGAATATGAACTAGAGGAGAGAGAAAATAAGAGAGCAGAAGAAAGGTTTGAATAGAAGTGACGTTACTTCAATGTGGGTGGGGTATTGAATTTTCTGTGTTTTAGGGCCAATTGTAATGTAATTACCATGTTTTTAGTTTTAGGGCCTTTTTTAGTTGGGTTGGGAGTAATTGGGCTGCTGTTACACCTATCTAAGGTGCACCTTAGACCAATTGGCTTTAACTCGATTTTGGGCTTAAAATATACAGTTATGAAAATAAGCTCAAACTCTAATATTTTCGTAGTGGCTCAATAAGCTCATGAATTATTATAAATCTGCAAATTCCTACAAAATAATACCAACTCTACAAAAATACTAGAAAACGTATATTAGTAATAAAAATAGCTCTGTAGAGCTCAAATAATCACAAATATGACCGTGAGGCAGGGAATAAATATATATATATATATATAATAGACTTATCATAAGATGAGGGAGTTTGTAGTGTGCTTATTAGTTGCACAATGTGGGGAGGTATTGAGAAGTTATTGTTCTTGATTAAGGTTTATATTTACAAGATGTTAACTTTTCTCTCTCTAACTGAGAGTTTCTCTCACTAAAATTGTGAGGCTCTTTATTTCTTTTGCCCTACTCAAAAGTCTTTCTCCTTTCTATGTTCTTGGTTACTGTGGCATGCAACCACACGCTCGAAGATCTCCTTGAGCAAATCTGAGCAAAAAAACCTTACAGTTTCCCAATCTTCTTTTCGCCCAATCCCTTTTTAGCAGTAATTGCACTCAATATCTGACTTTTCGATTTCAGCCAATCGTAGTAGTGGTGTTTTTACACTCCTTTTATTGCATATCTTTACTTTTTGCATGCACCAATAGGTTTGAAGGAGTAATTGCAATTTTTTCTCCTTGAGCCCATCACCCCTGCATCATTTGGAGAACAACAGAAGTAATTGTTCTGTACTTCTTGCTTGCCACTTGTTCGACATGCAATAGAACCATTACTCTCTGATTTCTTCATATTCCCCCTATAAGAAGAAGTTAATTGCTCTACAACTTGCAAACATCCCTTTCTTCCCTTCTATTATCTTTTTCACCTTCTTCTTGTCTGTACTACTTAATTGAAGTGGTATGGCAATCCAGAATCCAATTGATCCTAATAATGGAAATGAAAATGACCCTCCACCAAACAATAACCGTCCTAGGTCCCATAGAATGGGAGTTCTGGTTACCCCACCAACTCAATTTAATGCTCTAAGTAATATAAACTTCAATAATTCATTCTGCTATTGGAGTCTTTCTTGGCCCGAATCCTCCATCAGCCACTTATGTGCAGCATACAATTAACCAACGATGGGTCACGAGGGGCATGTTCGAGTTCATCGAATAGGGGATTACTTCCTGTTTGAGTGCTTGGTTCAAGGTGATCTAGAGGGATTACTTAGACAATATTCTACGGTGTTTGATGGTCGTATAATCAATCTTCGGAGGTATCATACAAATCTTATTCCACGGCAAATAAATTTTTCAACAGCTAGGCTCTGGGTTCGAGTCTACGGCTTGCCCTTGCAATTTCTCACGGAGGCTTGGGCAAGGAGGATTTTTGTCCATATTGTTTATTTGGATACGCTAGAACCAATTACAAATGGTCGGTTACCAGAGAGAGCGGAGCTAAGAGCATGCATGGTGGTTGATCTCACTCAACCGCTAATTCCGAGGTGTTTTATTCCGGTTCAAGGTGACCGGGTAATCTGGGTTTATTTCAAGTACGAGGGTGTTTTTCGTTTTTGTAAAACTTGTGGTTGTGTTGGTCATAGTACGAGTAACTGTAATCTGAGAAGTGAGGTGGCGGCGCGCCGTCTTCTAAGGCGTTTGGGGGCGGTGGAGAGGGATGGTCTGAGGGTGCTACATGGCCCTTTGGACTTCCCCTACTACACTAATTTTGTTCGGGGTCTACCTGATATTTACAGGTCGCAATTGGGGGTTGAATCTCACGAGATTGGAGGAGCCGGAGGACATTCCGATTGGAAATTGGGCTCTTTTTAATGTGAATTCTGATTCGGATTTTAATTCGGATGATAGTAATGACACTGTGTACTTCTTGGGGTCTGGGAGCTCGAGTGACTCGGAGGTAGCACATGATAATAGTATGGAGGCGATTGACAAGGAGGCGGTTCGTTTGTCTCCGGGTAGACGTTTGGGGGTGGGTAGTGATCCATACGCTGAGTTCACTCCTCCAAATTTGAACTTTTCACGGTCGCAACAGCGTTTTCCACACAATACCAGTTTCAGAATGCAAAATAATAGTACAAGGGTGAGTCGAGGCCCTATAAATCAAGTTGACATGTCACTGGAACGGCCGGTTGGAACGATCATTCCGATGCCTCATAGTGCGTGTCGAATAAATTCAACACCAAACTCCAACTCACTGATGCAGCGGGTTTCGACTTTAGCAACGGAGAATCATTCAATTTCGAGGTTGGAGAGTCCTCGAGCGCAGCTGTGAATAGGGGGAGGGGGGATGAAACTCCTCAAACCCTGTTTCAGACGCTGGAAATCTCGGAGTGGGCTTTTCCGCCACCAGAGCCAGTCCAGTTCAATGAAGAGACTAGTGCAATAGGAGGTTATCCAGTGGGCTTTGATCCAGATCTTCACCAGCAACTTATAGCACAGATAGACATGAGTCCGGAGCAGCCGCTTGAGACAACGACTGAGCAGCAGCAGCACATTGTCCAGCCTCACTTGAATATTGAAGGCAACGATGAGGGGGTAAATTCTATGTCTTATGCTGAGTTTTTAAATCATAATCAGCTGAATTTTGTAGAAGCAGAACGGGCTTTTTCGAGCTATGACTGTAAACAGGGCAACGTCGAGGAGGATTTATCCGACGGCTGCCAGATCGATGTACCTCCCTGACTCGCCTAACACCTTCCCAACAAATTTGGTGCATCTGCCGATGACGGAGTACGATCCGCCAAACTCACCGGTGTCACCAATTCGGTCTTTTGATGTGACGAATGTGTTTATAGAAGAAGAGAGGAGGAGCTCTCTAAAAAGGCCGCGTACAATTTACAGGGGTTCCGTCGAAGTCTTGTGACAATGACTCGGTGCGAGAGGCATCATATGATCTGGGATGGTTGGAATGGAAGCGCTTGAAAACGCTTAATCGCTGGGCTGATAAGGGTGGATTTAATGTTTGGCAACGAGATAAGTAGGGCAATTTTGAGTTTAGGTCGAAGGCTATCAATGATGTCGGCATGGCAAGGCAGTGGGGGGTGCGCATCAAGCCACCACTCTCTGGTATTTTGGGGAAGAAGAGACAACATTCTTCTTCCTCGGGTCACTCTAGTCCGATCAAGAAGCAGCGGAGTGAGGAGGCTACCTCTAGCTTCCACGCCTTTGACAGTGACATGGAGGTGGAGATGGGAGTAGAAGACGATAACAAGAATGCTGGAAAAGATGATGAATTTGTTGGTGAGGTGGCTGCACCGGAACAACCCCCTAGTGATCAATGAGAGTTATCACTTGGAATTGTAGGGGGTTAAATGACACACTTTCCCCTACACATCCTTATTTGGTGTGGTTGTTAGCTACTAAGTTGCCTACTTTTATGTTTATTTCCGAAACTAAAATGATGTTTAGTGATGTTAGTAGATTAGTGACAAATTTTACTCCAAGTTTTTCTTATGGAGTAGACTCGGAAGGAACAAGGGGGAGTTTAGCCTTGTTTAGTTGGTATTTGGGGAATGTCTTTTGTGTTGCTTCTTCCTCAAATTATATCTTTTGTAATGTTGTGGACATTAATGGAACGAGTAGGCATATTTTGTTTTTGTACGGAGCTCCGAAAGTAGAGGATAGACCGAATGTTTGGGAGGAAATTTCGAGCCTTATCTCTACTACACTGAATGTTTTGGTTATGGGAGATATTAACCAATTAGAGTATTATAGTGATAAATTAGGGGGGGCTTCTTTAATAAAGGGCTTGGATGCGTTTTTGGATTGGAGATTCCAAACTAATCTTTTGGAGGTTCCCTTTATGGGGCCGCGTTACACTTGGACAAACAAAAGATTAGGAGCGGATTTGATCATGGAGCGTTTGGATAGGGCTTATTCTTCTTCTCAATGGTTTAATGACTTTCCGGATGGGAGAGTTATTCATGAACCTATTACGGTTTCGGATCATGCGGCTATTATTTATGATTCGGATACTATGCTATCTAAGTCAAATAGACCGTACCAAATTAAGACGTGGTGTTTGGTTTTCCCGGAGATTAAAGCTTTTATTGGTGAAGCATTGCACATTCATTGTACGGGGTCTGTAATGTACAAGTTCTAACAAAGATCGAAATGGTTACGGGATAAAATTAGAAAATGGTGCTTGGATAATAAAAAAAGTGTGGGGTATAAATTGGAGGAAGTACTCTACTGAGCTCCTTGACCAGGGAGGGGATATCACGTCTTTGGAGCAAGGAAATAGCTATGTCACAGCGATTAATGGTATGATCAATCAGAGCAGCTTAGAATTTAAGTATTGGCAACAACGCATGAAGGATAGGTGGATTAAGGAGGGTGATATTTCTTTGAGAATGATGTATGGTAGAGTGAAACAAAGAAAACAACGGAGAGAGACTGTCACTTTGAGGAAAGAGGAGGACGTTTGGGTGCATGGATAGGAAAATTTGGAAATTTTGATAAGGGACACTTTGAGGGAGGTTTATAATCCCCCGATGGAGCGGAGGGATATTGTCCAAGAGAAAGTTGATTTGGTACTGCGTGAACTAGAGCTTCCTTCTATAGCATCCGAGGATGCTACCTTTTTAATACGTCCGTTTTCGTATCAAGAAAGACGAAAAGCGATGTTCTCTATTCACAATTTCAAGGCACCAGGACCGGATGGCTATATTGTAGAATTTTTCCATCGACAATGGGAGGAGGTCGGACAGTCAGTTGTGTAGTCGGTACAAGCTTTTTTCAATACGGGGTATCTTTTAAAGGAGCTTAACGCTTCATTTCTTGTTATGATTCCAAAAGTGGTGCCCGGAATTGGCTTCACAGTTTTTACCAATTAGCTTATGCAACACTATCTATAAATGCATAGCTAAGTGTATGGTCAACAAAATAAAATCGCTTTTGCCGGGCTTAATTTGGGAATTTC